AGTAAATCATGATCTTGTAAACCAGAGTGTATTTGGAGATTTATGATATCAGAGAGAATTTTATAATTTGATCTTCAGATTTTGGTGGTATCAGAGTGTGATATGATAAGTTCCGAGTCTTGTGCACTTGTGGGACCCATCTCACGAGTGTACGGCGTCTGTCGCTCCTCGAATTTGGGTTTTGGGGCGTGACAGATTTAGTGGTATCAGAGCTTAGTTTAAATTAAAAGTTTAGGATTAAATTAAGCACCTCCAGATTGAGTGGCATCAGAGCAGATTGAGTGATATCAAGCTTAGATTTAATTAAATACCTAGGTTTAATTGAATACCTAGGATTTGTTTTGGACTTGGCTAGCCAGTGGATTTTAGAATCGTGGTGAGACGAGTGATGGGGTTATATAAGGGACGATTCTGATTCGTGTTGCCTGAATTTTCTAATCCATCTTGATGAGATGGTACTCTGATTGTTCTTGTTTCCTGCCTTCATACTCTGTATGAAGTTGTGAAAGTAATCTTGCCCGTCATGTCCTGAAGGCCTTGTTTTGAAACTTGGTCATTTTCTGATAGTCTGCATTTGTTTAGACTTGTTGCGTGAATAGAAATTTTGTATGCTCTTTTGCCACAATTGGAAAATCTGGGGAGTTGTAGAGATCTTTTGTTATTGACTCTGTTTGTCTCTACAGCATAGCTGGTTGAGAAATTTGCTCTGTTTGTCATGACCAGTGGAAGATGGGCAACTCTCGACTTTGTAAGAGATTCAAGGCTGTTTTAGCAAATGTTGTGTGTTTTCTAGATGTGTTTTAAGAGCTGGATAATTTGGTAATTTCGCTGCTCATTATCTTTTTGAAAGTCTTGTAGTGAAGTTTCACTTTTTCCATTTTGGAGCTTCATGGTCTTTTCATGTAGCTCATTTTTCTATATTGGTTAATCAAGAGCAGTGATCATTCAATTGAAATTGCCTTGTTTTTGTGAAGATTGGCAAGTTGTCATAAAGTTAAACTCTCTATTGTTGCCAATCTCTACATTCTTGATACTTGAAAACTGCTTGAAACTCTTGAAATCCATCTTGAATCTTTCTTGATATTGCTTTGTACTTGTTCTTGAAACTGAAATCCAGAAATGGATAATGATTATTGAAATCCTCATTATCTTGATATTTGTCTGAAACTATTTCTTGAAACTGTTTCTGGCATTGTGCTTGGAATCGGTTCGTAAACTTTGCTTGAAATTAATTCTTGCATTGTTTTTGGAATCTAGTTGAGTTGTCCTTGAAAACGTTCTTGTTCTGACACTTGTTCTTGTTCAAATTTTGTATACTGCTCTTGCTC